TTCCTCCTCCGTGAGGGTGCTCCACAGGGTTCATGGCTGAACCACGCACCTTCGGCCAGCTGTTCCTCTTCACCCGGTACTTGTGGTGGTTGTTGCCAGCCTTCAACACTGGCTTGTCCATGCGGCCACCACCAGCCACAATGCCCACGATGGCACGGCATGTGGAGGGAAGGCTCTTGCGGCTGCCGGATGGCAAGCGGACGCGGGTCTTGCGCCCATCATCCGAATGGCCCACGACCATGCAGGATGTGCCAGACGCGCGAGCGAAGCGGCCGCGATCAGCGGCCTTCTCCTCGCACATGGAAATCACGGTACCCTCGGGCATCTTCGCCAATGGGAGGACATTCCCCACAGCCAACTGAGCCTTTGAGCCGCAGTACACAAACTGCCCAGAGTGGCTTCCCTCCACAGCCACCCACAGCTCCTTCTTCAGCTTGTAGCGGTAGGGGTCGTGGAAGACGACCTCACACAAAGGAGCTCCACGGCCAGGGTCGTGCAAGATGTTCTTCACCAGTCCCTTGATGTAACCCTTGCGCTCCGCAAAGTCCACTGCACGAAGCTTCACGGCACCCTTCCTGAGCCTGGTCTTCGCTGTGAAGATCAGGGACTTGCCCTTACGCGAGCCGCGAATCACTCGGCCCATTGCTACCTCTTCACCGTACCACACTCCTGGAGCCTTGCAGCAACATCAGTCGCACATCAATGCGCCGCTCCACTTATGGGGACTTTGATACTTTCATCTAGCATGTGCTTGTCTTTGCGATGTCCACCCAATCGAGCTTTTCCACGGGGTCCACCTTTGCCTGAAAAAAACAGGAAACATGCCGAAAAGCCGAGAAGCGGCAAACTTCAGTGGCCACTCGGCAGAAACGGCACTCGATCCGCGCCTCCTTGAGGCGCCTTGTGATCTCGTGCAGGTCGTCCAGCGCTGCGTGCTGCAGACGTATGGCACGCGTGGACCGCCTGCGAGATCTGATGGCATGTGGTCGCCCGGGCGCTTTGACCCAATGGTTGGATAATGTTGGGAAAACCACGGGGTTTCATTGAGTGGGCTTCAACCTACTCATACCTAGTCTAAGATAATACTGGAAAGATTCTTTTGCACGCCTGCAAATGAATAATGTCCCCAAGTGGCCTCTTCTTTCCATGGCTCCGACAACAGGTTGCCTGTTGACGAACTACGGTTGCTCACGCCACTTCGGGGAGCCCGTTGGCAACAGCCCACCAGCAAGACATTGCTGGCTCGGGTCGGTACGTCCTAGGTACCTGTCAAACTAGAGACCATGTGGAGATGGTCTCTAACATAGTCGATGGAGTCGTGGATTTACGCATACACATCCGGTATTCTGATGCTTTGTCCCTAACTGGTTTCCACATCCAAAAAATACACCCTTGCTTGCAAGTGTGGGAGCCCTTCAGGCTGTAGTTGGGGGTCCATGTTTAGCAAAGATCCCTTTCATCCAAAGGATCCTCCCTGAAATAACATACAATCAGGGGTTCACATTGTGAGGAATGACGAATCCTCCCACTCGGGTGTGGTGGCATCCAAAGTTTCAGGGCGAAGGTTCGCAACCCACAATTTTCCAGGTTGCAGCGAATGGAGCTCCCGTTCTCCAAGCACTTCTGAATGGGTGACCAACATGAAACTTGAGGCCACATGGTACAAAATATCCAAATGCCCCTGCCGCTGGTTGTATAAAGTGGTCTACTTGTTCCTCGCTTATTCCCGGATGCGGTGTTCCAACCCCAGTAGATGAGAGTCTTGTCAGTTCAGGAGAGCCCTTCTGTGATACCATGACCTACGATTCGGCCTGTACACAGCATACCCGGCGAAGAAAATGAGGAAAAAGGCGTAGTGGATGGAGACGGCCTGAGCTTCACCCATTTGCAAGCGCAAATGACTGGTGGAAAAAGTGGAGACCAAGAAACAAGAGCCGAAATCAACTATTCCAACAAACCACTGGCATCAACATGCTTCAATGTCTGTGCCCAGTGGCCATTCTGCAAAGCTGTACACGCGTTTTGGTTTGCTGCCACTGGAGCCCGGAAAGAAATTTAGTCTCTGAGGGGAAACTAAGGAAAACCAACGGAACTTTTTAAATCCACATCCAATCATGTGAATTCTGCGTTGATTCCTCAACAGAAGCCCCAGCAACTCCATTGACAAATTCGTCAACTCCAGGACACGGAACCCTGGACCACATCATGCGGTGAACTAGAAAAAACCTCAAAATGATTGCTTTCGCTTTGCTGCCTCGGAAAAAACATCGAATCAATCACCCTCAAACATTTAAAGAAAAACAAAAGAAACAACATGATGGGCGCTGTGAAAGCATGCAGAACACCAAGCAGGATGCCACTTGGCGACATGAACTGAGAACCTCTTGAAGGAATGTTGGCTGGCTAGAGGCACAATGTTGGGCCCCTGCTAAGACAAAGCTTAAAGCCTGCCAAATCCACCTATACATCTACTAGGGGCCAACAATGAGATCCGGATCCC